AAAAATTATGTAGAATATTTGAACAAATAGGAAGCCTCACGTTATCGACTTACGTTTTTTTACTCTCAATAAGGAACTTTGCGGCCAATTCTTACATTTACGGAGAAGAAGATATCGTAGGAAAATGCCGAATAACACGAATGTAAGAAGTATATTCATCAGTTCTACCAACACCGATAATGTTTTGGTGGACAATGAATAATATTAGCCCTCGTTGAGAAATTTGCTTGTACTGATGCAGGCAACAGCACACCGAGAGAAATATCTATTAGCTGTTATAAGAAAGTGTATAACATTTATTTGTCCTTCTTGTCACTTCCTTGGATTATTAGTTGACATAGTTTCCACAAATGTATACCGTGACGTCAGTAAATAAGGGTTCACGAAACAGGAAACGAAAACAAAATTCCTTTTTTTCTTCTGATGAATTGTTTCATAAAATTCTTGTGAATTTCGAAGAAGCAGATACAATTATACGAATCAAAGAAATACATATACCTACACCGTGTCCAAGATAAGGATACGAAGACATCCTTATCTTGGACATACCGTATACGCTATACAATAATCTGTCACCGATATAACTGTGTGAATCCAAGCTTTTGCCACCATTGTGAATAGTGAGGTAGTTTGAAAATAACAAATTTTATCCAAATCGGAAGAAATTCCGATACATTACCGATTTATCGTGTGAACACTAGGACGCCCTGATGCAGTTCTACTTCCTGTATTTCCCCAACAAATCCTATACTTGAGGGGTATATGAACAAATATGTCCCTAAAATTTCAACCACTTTTTCGAAGATAAAACAATCATCACCCTTACATGTCAGGTATCCGTAGAGGACTAACGATTCTGATGGAACAAGTGTTCATAAGTAAGTGAGATGACTGATTGTGGTAAACGAGTTGGACAGAGATGGTAAATGAAGAAGGGATGGAACTCAAATGATACTTGTTCAACAGTGAAATGACATCTTCCAGGATTCAAATGATTGCCTTTTGAATTCCATCTTTTAACATGATCTTGTTCCATTTCAAATCTATAAGGTTACCTTTTCAAAACAGAAAGAGTGATTTGAAGAGGTGACCTGTTTCACGTTGAAAACGTTGACTTTTCGCGTTCTTCAGTTGACATTTCGTGGTTAAAATGTTTCATTCAGCAGTTATAGGATATTTTCGAAAAGAGACTTGTATAACTGGATTTTCCTCGGTGCATAATTCAATGATAATTAACTGATTGACAATGCGAAATCTTTTCATGCTTCGTATTGTCAGGGTTCATTCATGAAGATTGCATTTCAGATGATGATCTCTCTCTCTCAAGAATTCTCGAAGCACACAAAATCGGTGCGACTAGTTCACAAAAGCATTGTTGATTCTATAATTCCGTCATTTCAGTCGGTATCCCAGACATATTCCTCGGACGTTTCTTGTTAACCCGAGCTGTGTTCTCGATGATTTCCCACGACATAAACCCAGCGTTGACCTCTACTGATTAACATAGACTTCTGATGCTGGAGAGTATACCGCCGGCGGTACCACTTCTTCCTCTATTCATGAGTCGGCTGAAAGAGTGCACTGGTTCACTGTGTCCATGCCCTGCCCTTCATGCATCAGCTGGTACGGAAAATTGGTCTTCACTTCGTTTCACTACTGGCATTATTCGCAAGATTTGGCGGAAGAAGGATTTTATCTACAGCTATTGGCTTGAGTGATTTTCAACAGTGAATGGAATTCATTGCTCTTGTTCAATGATGACAGTACTATTGTGTTATACATATTGTGTCATCCAGTCAAATCTGATCAATCATTCGACAATAAAACTGAAAGTGAACATATAAATTGCGTTTTTTTGTGATGCACTGGTTTATGAATTATCTAGGAAGGAATCAAACGGCAAACAATGAAGATTGAAATTGATGTGATTACAACCGTTTGACAATCACACATACATTCTGAATGACATAATAATCATCAATAAGAAACATCAAAGTTCAGATTATATTAGGTTTCGGATCTTTGTATTTCATCAATTGGATTGATGATACATATGGAGAAGTCCGAAAAAATTGAATTTTGCATGGGATTGTTATTACAAGTATCACTACAAAGACCTTTCAGAGCCATGAGTTATTTATGCACATTTTTCGTCTTTTATTTGCCCCTCTTTCCTCATCAGTGGAAGGAATATTCACTATTTCATATCTACTATTATTTGTCAAAGTTTTTAATCACATCTGAATTGATATGATGTTTGTCAAATACACTTTTCTGTCAAACATTCCAAACATTCCACCACACATACGATGTTCTAAGACCTAATGGCCAGTGGCACCAGGATGATAAAAACACATGACTCCTCACGTCAGGAAGGTTTCCATCTTCCTCTAGTTCAGAGAAAATCAAGAACAACTTTGACCCGTGCTGTAATTTTCGAAGGCATTGCATGTATGTCTGATATAACAATCAAATCAGTAACGTGCACAACAGAATGAGTATATGAACATTAATTTATTCAGTGATGGAACAATGATAATTGGATCTCATTACTTCTCAGATTCCAGCACAATCAGTTAAAATCTGATTATTAGACAGTTTTCACAGTTGTAACATCCTTAATTACCTAACTGATAGATAACCTAGCACTAATACAATCTCACTTTCCAATATTCCAATAGTAAATATGCCGACCTCTGGTAGAGGCCAGGTCTCTTTGCACGTTTAGTAGGTTCTAATTATCATCCTTCCATCTTATCAGATGCGTTAATTCGTTTGATTTTTCTGTCACCATCGGAATAAAAGCGAGCTAGAGAAAGCCGGTACTCGTTAATAGACTAATTACTAGTCATTCTCCTTGAATTGCCCAATGAGAGGTGTTACGTGATTCGAGTGGTACATCGCTTATTGGTTTGTATCTGAATTGATACTATTCAATGCATGTCATTTGCCTAACATGGATTTTCCTATGCAGGAAAAAGTGACATGTGATTTATTGCGTTCTGTGATTTCCATTACATTGTAGATACCAATCATAGGTAACTCCATCAACCAAAAAAACAACTCAAGTTTCGAGTTTATTCTCTCTTCAGTTCGAATACAGTCAATATTCGCGGGAATCAATGTCACCAGGTGGCGCTTGGTTTTCATCGTTCCATGTCAAAGCCACGTCAGAACTGGGGGAAAACAAACTCAATCCTCACTCAATCCCATAAGTGCCATTTGCTTGTGTACTGGGTACTGATAAGAGGGATAACACTTTATGTCATTGATAAGTTTGGCAACTACAGCTACAGCAAGATGTATGCAATGTAGTCTATGCACTTCATCCATAGACAATAGTTTGTTTTCCCCCAGTTTGAAGTTCGTATTATGTAACCTAGATGTCGCCAACTTCGTGAATCCCGCGAATAACAGGTTTATCCAGAAACGTAACCTATCGTCGGAACATCATCTATATATTTATCATTAATATGTAATCTCCATAATCAGGACTTATAGGAAACGTCGAGTCAAATATCATTGATCATATTATGTCTTTCATGGCACCATACAAACTATTCTGAAAAAAATTGGTTTTCTAATTCCAGGAGGCACTGTTTTTGAATGGTTATTTCATATTAATGAATGAACATTCCAGGAAAATTCAATTGAAAGAACCGACCGACGTCTTCTTCTTCATACTAACCAAGATCATAATACTCGTCAAATTACCATGCCATCTATATGCAAAGAGAAGCACGTGTTGTTTTCTTGAAGTCTCTATCGGAGCTATGATAAGAATAAAGACCTCTTTGTTGCTGCTAGACAGGAAGCATAAAAATGACAGTCAGGAACTTGCGTTGATTCAATATATATTCAACCAGTGGCATTCTCATCATTTTTGCTGATGTTGTATTTGATGAGATTTCTAGAATAGCTACTTCTAAAGTGTTGAGTCGTTCTGTTATAGCCATTCTATGTTCCTGATCTCTGTTGATATATAAGTTCATCCACTTTCAGCTCATTGATATGATAAACGATATCTCATTTTTAACGTCGTCACAAAGAAGAATTTCTGAGTAATGCTTTTATCGTAAATAACATTTTTCTACAATCAAATCGAACTCGGTCATTCCATTTCTTCTTGAGGAATAAGGAGATCATTGTTCGAATATCTACCAGAAAACAACGGCTTCTTTTGCTACTGTCACACAATATTGATTTATATCTGTCGAATATCGGAAAAAGCTTATATGAAGGAGGAAATGTACAACAACCATTTTCAAATATCTAACAGAAAACTTATCTTCTGGCTAACACCAGAGAATATTGATTCAGATATGTATATCGAAAAATAATATCCTCACATCTGAGAAGAAATATTCTCAATACTTTTTATTATTGTTGAGTTATTTATTTATCATCATCTAGAATCAATATTATTAACATAACATTGCAAGAAAGAAGATGTATAACACTGGTACGAAAATTGAAGGAACACATTATGAATATGAATCAAGCTCACATTGAAGGATTGAAAATATTATGATTTGTGACATTTTCAATACTTCACCGCTGAGTTTACTAGCGGAAACGACTGGTTTGAAGTCTCCGTTGTTTGTTTTCTTCAAATAATTTCCTTTCTACTTGTGCTGTCAGAAATCCTATATTCCGTATTCTCCAACGACATTTCAGCTCTGCAGGTCTTTCATCGATGAGTTTTTTTTTTATGGAAGAATGCCTTGCCTTCCTATTGGTTCAATTTGTATTATAGATAGTACCAAGCAAAAGAATAAGCTATATATGATAAAATGATCGTTTGGCAAACATCTGCTCCCGTTATTGAAATAAATGTGCCTTGCCGAAGTAGTTACGTCTATGGTCCTTGACTCTTATGTCAAATGTCTATTGTTTTTCAGTTAACTATTCAATAAAATGAAGAAGTCCGATATTGTAGCTGCCCATCTCATTCCATTTTTTTCCCTTTCTTTATGCAATTCTTTTGTTGCTCATTGTAGGTACTGCCGACAATGATGGAAGACCGATCATCCTTTGCTATGCCGAGTGTATTGCCAGAGTGGGACTCAACAAGTACGAGATCGCCAAGTTGTTGCTCTATTATTGCACCATTCCCACGTAAGTACCCAAACCGAAACTATACACTTCACTATCAAGTCACTGATGAATCATCATCTCTTTGGTAGATGACAACCTAATTATGACGACTACTTCTCCAATGGTGCTTTTCCCTCATATTGAGCTTCTAGAGATTATTCAATAACCACTGATGTATCGAGTTAAGTTCTATTTATTATCACACCATCTCTCTCTGCAAGAAACTTAACTTCAATCTGGAACAGGTCTGACTCAATTCTTCAACTCAAAAATGAGCAAGACAGTTCTAAATATTCAACTCTGCCACTATCTGGCTAATAGGCGAGTGGACTGATGATGAATTATTTTTGCAACACTATACTCACTCTTTGTTTATGTAAATAAAAAGTCTATGCGTTGTACAAAATTGCTAAATTTCAGAGCTCATTTCGCGATACGTCGAATAAATGGTAACGTCAGTTTTTATGCTGATTCGTTATTGGTCAGATAATCTTCAATTTCCACTCATGAAGCAAGGTTGTCAAATCACCAATCATAATCAATTTATCAAAATGATTATAGTCTTGTCGTTGGATTTAACACGAGATAAAACATAATATGAGGAAGCCATGATATAATAGTTCATTCTCTACTTCTTTGAGCAAGCAGCATGTCTAAATATCGTTTATACTCGATAACAAAATATCATGTTAAATCTCTGGTAGTAGTCCATGCTCAAATTGGAGGTGATGAGATAATTAAGAGAACAAACTCAAAGTCTCGCTCCAAGTAAATGGAGCGAGACTTTGAGTTTGTTCTCTTAATTAAATATCATGTTGATGTTGAAGACCTGGCAACAATGTTCTGAATGCTGAGAACTGACAAGGCACCGCCCACAATTCGTCATATTTTGTTGTCACGTTTACCCTCAAATGTCCTGTAGGGTAAATTGAAATAATAATATTATTATTAACATATAGCAATAAGCCACAACAGATGAGGGAATATTCTGAGACAATTGATTTTTTATGTCTAATCAGGGATATAACCGATACAAAATTGAAAATTTATGAATCATTGAATAATTAATATTTCTGAAGTTCCAAGCGTATTTCAACTTTGGCAATCGTTCCATGGTCTGTCCCCACTTACAAAATCGTGACGTCAGTTTTTACTCGCGGTATATTTTTATCTGTTTGAAAATTACCGTGGCATTATTGTTGATTTTAGCACCTTAAAATCGACCTAAAAATTCTAGAAAAATATGACATTGAAAGGTATTTGAGTGATGATTCTATTTGAGATATGAAAAAAAATAGGTCCATTCGACTATTGAGATTTGGTGAACTCGATTGATTCTGATATCAGAAAATGTATTCAATCAGGTGGCTGTGAGAACTGATTCACTCAAAGGACCTGTTTTCGCACCATGATATTTCAACAATAATGACTTGATCATTAATATTCATCTACAACAAAGTATTTTTTTCGCAGAGTTGAGAGCAGAGAAAGAGGATTCACCGTTCTTCTCCTGGCAGAAAATGAGACTGACTATAAAATCCTTGAAGTGTTGGACAAGTCCCTGTGTCTGATTGGAAATTCTATGAAAATCCATAGATTCCTCGTTTGGCAACCAGGAGTCAGGAACAGGGAAGAGAAAGTATTATCTAGTCGTGTACAGGTAAATAATACATTATTATGCTGTATCAATGTATGTATAATATCCTTCTGAATATCATGTAAAATTTCGTTGAGTTTATCTCGATTACGAAACTCAAATAATATGAATTTTTTTTCAATTTTTTGGTTGACAGATATGTTGATATCAATACGTTTGGAATTCAAAATTCTTGATATCAGGAAGGTGAATGGGCGTGTACACCTTAGTAGAACTTTCAACTCAAACCATGTTTATAATAATCCTTTTATATATAAATAATGATTGACGACATAATTCGATCGAAAAATTCACTGGACTGTTTCATTTTTGGACAAAAATGATAGTACCTTCCGAAAACGGACCCTCTTATGACGTAGAAACCTCAACTCAGCATAGTTAAATGAAAATACCAAACGCCCGACGGAGACTGAGGCAACTGATATATTAATTCTTTAACCTGTGATCTCGCGCTAATTCAATCTGTCAGAAATCATGTATCATTCATCTCTGTCTGGAATAGTCTTGTTTCAGTATTAGGGCTTCGACGTCACATCATCGCCTCGTTTTCAGAGGTCCGAAAAATCGGGAATTTCAATAATTATTTATAAAACGTAGGGAGCTTACAACAAGAAACGGTTTGCGGTGGTGAGCTAGTTTGGGCTATTTTGTGATATAAGCCCATTGTATCTATAAAGAGAAAGAAGCAACGATAGTCTTTCGAAAGTTAGTATTTTTATTTATGTGAAATTGCGTTAGATTTTTCTGAATTCAAAAACAGAAATGACAGAATTAATGACAGATAAGTTGATATCAGTGTGGTTGATAGTTTCTGATACCAGGTATAGGTGAAATATATAGAAAAAAAAAATAAGCCACGATCAGAAATATAATGGAAATGGTAAATAATGGTGATGAATAGCCATGAATGACTATGAAGTCGCATGAAAATTTTTCTCGGGGAAGTTGAATAAATGCCTTCCTGTGAAGAATATAGTTCGATACTGTGGAAGTTTTCTGCTGTAAATTTTTCATCATGAAATATCCACTAACAAAATTGATCATTGAATCGATGGAAGTAATTGAAATTCCTATATAACGACAATTGATATTTCTTAAGGCGGTAAACTATGAAAAAAGTGACAAAATCAGAAGAACAAAGAATTACCTCAAAAATTGGATATTTGTCTTGCTTTGTGATGTAAGTTGTTATACTGACTCGAAAAATCATGCACCTCTGCCTAATATAATTCAGAACTTTCTTGGATGAAGTGATTGAATCTGTTAGGAGACAATATTATTCTTTTTACCTACTACCAATATGAAATGTGAAACATTACGACGCTGATTTTAGTATCGTAATGAGATACTTCACTGCACTAGTGCGGTAAAAAGAAAAGAATATATACTTTCAAATTTTATTTTTACTCAAAAACAGGAATAAGGGCCAATTTATCATGAATATAGCAGGTACTCAAGTTTCGATTGCTGCATTCGCCACAATCTCTATATCGGAATCTAAACTTTCCTGATCCGAATTTATGCTAATGAACTTTTTTTCTAATTGAAATTAACGCGTCAAGGTTGACAGTTCGCCGAATGAGTGACAACCGTGAACACAATAGATTCACGACAACCATAGGCCCAACCCTTGCAACGCTTGCTTGTTACATATTCCTAATGAATCGTCAGTTCAAGGAATATTGAATATTTTTGAATAAATAATTAGCTTTTTGGTAGTAGGTAAAATATTGTTTCACGAATTTCCCATCTCATATCGATCTTAATATGAGTCTTCTTACGATACTCGTATCGTGAATATCTATCATTTTGAGGAATTCCCTATGAAAATAAGACAGAACAGTTAGTTGAGATGACAAAAACATTGTATTTGCTGTTCCTGATGCTGTACTGAATGAATATTATTTTGAGTAACTACGTCATGAGTAGTGCGAAAAAGACTCAATAATGATATAGATCTCAATAAAGTGAACTTCAACATCCACGAGATTCATATATTTTCATCCAACAATGCCTGTAAAACAATTTTTTTACATACAAACAGTACTACGCCACCTGTGGACTGCACTTCTCGATCCAATGTCTAACTTCTTACCGAATAGTCATTACCGTTAATTACTGAAAACATGATGTTTATATTGGATCCCCCACAAGTGCAATCCGACCATCAGATCATAAATCTTGAAGTGTGCGTACTTTTCAATCAAGTGATTGATTGCGATTTAACGTTTTTCAATCATTCATTACCGGCTTTCTAACATGTTTGGCATGGTCAGTATAATCTGAGATAATTACTGTGATGCTGGCGTACAGTATATTATTCAGGTCCAGCCATGGTGAATATGTTAGATTGGTCGTGATGTTATGTTTGCCATGCGCATACTTTTTGATCGTGCATGGTGGTTATTTCGAATGTATATGTATGCGTCCTCATTATTATTTAATGTCAACAATTCCTCTGGTGCGAAAACTTGATATATATTTCATCATTTATTGTTCAGGAAGGATGGATATTCCTGAATTGAATAGGATATATTAATTTTCCTAACAAGTGCGGTAAGTGATACTTTAACGCACGCGAATGCCGTAGCGGAGTTCGGACAAGCAGTCGAATGCGGGAAAAACACTTTCCGCATGAGTTAGGAACAATATTTTTTCTACAAGCGTAGGGAATTGATTGATTCGTTCAATCAATTATTTCTGCAGATAGGAAAAACTAACAATAGTGATATATTCTCTATCTTATGATGATAAGTGATATATCTATTGTGTGTACCGTTTGACGCATAATGTAGGTAAGATTATTGCGAAAGCCAGCATGCCCATGGTGGTTGGCCTCTAGGTTTCAGATATTTCTAGGAGCATACTGAAAATTATGTTTTCCGTATATGAAATGATGAATTTGTAACATTATCATAGGTGCTAATAGAATAACCACAAACTTTCATTGAAATTAATAAAAGAAAGATTCAGTCGAGAAAAATGAAAGATTTCTTCATAAACAAGTAGAGTAGAAGTTGGTCTGTTAACCATATAGTGGGCCTAAATAAAACCAGCAAAAAATATAATAGATATAGGCGATGGGTGGACTCGATATCGTTTTGAAATTAGTAAGAATGTGGAAAATATAGTCTGCAGAAACGGAAACAGTGGTCCATGTGACTGTCCGATACCGATAATTTCCTACTATATCTGTACACGTCACTACAATTTCAGCATAATGGGCAAGTCATTTTATTTGTGATGACGGACTGACCTCTTTACGGAAACACGAAGTATGAGTAGTGAATGAAACGATGATAGGTTGTATGATTATAATATCACGAAAGATTCAATTATTTCCGGAAATTTTTACGGGTACACGAATATTTCGAAAACGAGGGAGAATTTTCTAAATATTCGTGTTCGAGAAAAAATTCCCGGATATTAATTGAAGCTGAAGTAGTATTCGGTAAGGAAATTTTACACTGAAATATTATATTGCAAGTATACCTACATAATATTATATGGTAAACTATTGATGAATGATTTTCATTTATTGACTTATAGAATTAACTCGAAATGATCTGAAGTTGAATGTAAATGTCATTTTACCTATAAACGTCAAAACATTTTCAGTGAAATTTGATGCTCATTCCCCCAAGGAGGATGAAAAAATTTCCAAGAAATTTGTTTAGTTGCTACGGCAACGATACGAAATACAGGCTTTTAATTAATAGAAAATGTTCGGTGTGAAATTTTCGAACTATCATTTTTAATGAGAGGCACAATGGATCAGGAAATCATTACCTAATTCAACAAAAAGGATTGATGATGTGAGATATGTTTGTTTTGTACACAACAGAAATCGATACTTTTTATATAAATGGGTAGAGAAAAATATACAGATTCGATTTAAACCGCCGTAGCCAGGGTCGTTCTGATAGGTATAAAAGAGCCTTCATGCCGGAAGTGATAGTTATTCGATTATTCGCAATAAATTATCCATTTAAATATGTGTAGGTCAAAGTGCTATCAGATGAATCCTCACTCAACAAGTACATCAGCAAAGACCAAGCTCCCGTCAGTTGTGGTGGCAGTAGCACCCACGACCAGCTCGAATGGGTCGAGTTTTTCAGACAGCTGGAACCATTCCTGACCTCCTGCAAGGTGGCAGGAAGGAATCTGCTGTCTACGTTATCGCAGCTCAGGAACGAGGAAGTGCCACTGCAGGTCACCCGGAGGTTTTTGAATCATCAGTGCAGGTGAACTAATAATAGAATCTTATCTTATCTGGGGATTGTCAGAGGTGGACTATGCATAACATTTCGAATTTATGCACCTGTGAAACTCCGAATTCCACTTACATGTGAATTCATGCATAAAAAAAGCGTACAATCTGAAAAATGATATGGTTTGATAACTTGAATCGTGTTGTTCCTATTTTCAATAAAATCGAAGAACCAACAATTCAATAATTGTCACTTTTAACTGCCATTGTTCTGAAACATAAACATAAACAAAGTTAGTGTGAAGTCATCTGAAGTACTATAGGTTTAATCACGCGCAATTGGCCAGGTTTATCAATTGAAGAATTATTAAGGGTTTTCTCATCACTTGTGTTATCTCAGTTGGAGTATGCATCTATTATTTGGTGTCCCATGTATCAGATTCATTCTACTTCCTTAGAAAGGGTACAAAATAAATTTTTGAGATTTTGTGCATATAGATTAAGTATTCATATACAAAACTCCGATTATGCAGATGTCTTATAAATCGTTGAAAACAAGAAGAACTCACGCAGATCTTTGTTTTGTATTCAAACCTCTCAATGTACTCATATCGTGTCCGGAATTACTCGAATCAATTAATATAAATCGTTATTTCACTTACCATCCCATTTTACAAATTATAGCAAGCATTCACCCTTGGAAAGAACTATGAAGTTATTGAACGACATAATTATATTTGGATTGTCTTACAATATGTTCAAAAAATCAATGAATAGCTAATTCAAGATTCTTCTTGCAGTTTCATATATATTTTTTTAATGGGTACCATACAATATGCTCATTTGAAAAACACCTCAGCGTGTTCGGTTCCAACTCTCAAAAATGCGCCTTCTTCAATAAATTCTTGTCTCAAACTAACTTAATTTATTCCACTCATTTAGCAAAGTTATTGCGCGAGGCCGGTATATACCTCTACTTATCACTTAGTTACTCCCTGCTGAGATTTTTTTATGAAAATCAACTGATATTATCTTATCTCAGAGAATATCTAAATAATGAAAACATCGTCGCTTAATTATTTTGTCACGATTTGACAAACATGAAATCAACAATGGATGCATCAAAAAGGTATTTTTGTAGCATTTTTGAAATGTCGGTCAACACCTGCAATTATAATTTCGTGTGTTTCAGGCAAATCACCAAGGCTCTGGAGTCCGAGTGCATTCATAAATTGAGAAGAGAGGGAAAGAAGACTTTAGCTACTTTGGAGGAACGGAAACAATGGTTGTCGAGTAGCAGGGATGTTAGAAGGTGTGTCAGCATTTCTGTGGAGTCATTCAATGCTGTTGAGTTTGTGACGAAGAGATTGGAGAAGCTCAAACAGGAACGAATGGAGAAGCTGAAAGAACTTTCGAAGTTCCGGAGTCTCAAAGAAGAGGCTGACGGGGTGAGTTCTGTCGATTCTGTCAGTTGGAGACAGTACCTACTTAAACCTAACTAATTCGTTATTCACATATACTATTCTTTGTATATCTACAGGGATACGTATCAACGGATATTTTTTGGTACTATGTCTTTTGTACTTATTTCTTTTAATATATCATGTAGTCAGGTTGAATTCAGGTTTTCAAATGTATGCTACAATGTGATAAACTCATAGGTAAGTGATATACTCACAGTTAAGTTAGTGTCATAGGAATAAATGTGTTAAACAATCAAAAATAGCTAGGGCGTCGAAAAAAGGCATATTCATGACAAATCCAGTAACATGTGCAAAAGTTGATTTGAGTGTCTCAGAAAGATTACTCCAACATGCCATCGGTACCTACGTGACACACAGCTAACCAGGCAACCAGATGACGTTTCAGTCACGTCAGTTGAATGACCAAGGCGACGCCAGGGGTTGACGTCGTTTGACGTGATAAATAACGTGAATAAGTCACAGCCAAATGACGTTATATTGCTCACGTTTATTGACGTAATTCACTCACCAAACTATAACGTCGAACTGATGTACACGTAAAAAAGTTTCCTCGAACATGGTGTGATAATCACCACTGACCTCTGATGACATATAATATTGATTAGGTATGCATTGTTGAGTTTGCTTGGTGGTCTCTCCAGTGTCATGTCCATTCCATCATTTATTCAGCAGCGCTATCCCTCAGTACGCATATCCATAAGAATGGAATCAGTTACTCGTATATTTGTATGAAAATTGTATAGTTTGTGTCGGCGAGATGTAAGCAAATCAAGAATAGTTTTATATCAATGAAAAGGATGTTGGCCCAAAAATCTAAATATCAAATCATTGACAAATCTTCTGAATGAGGAAGCTCATCGAAGTGGTACGTCACACCGACGTGATTTTCAGACGTCATAGATACGGCACTGCAACGTCATGAAAGTGAAGGTTTCAATATAGGTACACCTATATTATCATATGTATATATACATATATAGCTTGATTGGTCTCCGAGATATACAGGGTGTCAAAGTTTAAAAAAGTGCATGTTGATTTGTCTCAATGAGTTACTTCTATCGACGTTGGAAGCATATATATATAAAATTACCAAGACTCACATTTTTCTATATATGTGTGTAAAATTGATGAAAAAACGATTTTTTCTGAAAACTTTCCGACACTGAAAATTCCCATCCTGTATGTTTGAAGGTACGTCACAAACCTAACGGTTTCTCATGATAATGTAAGTATACATGGTTTAGATATGGTCTGGGAAACATATGGACGTCGACAGGACGTCCCGCAGGTGGGTGCACTGACCACTATACGACTGTGCGAATCAACCCCTTAAGACCTCTTCTTATAAGGTTGTCTTGGGTCATGATCTCTCAAAATTATTCACTACCTCATACACAACTTGTTCCATTATTTTCAAAATGTATCCGCCATCAATGAAAAAAAATTCCTTCACACGGTTCTGCAAGTATGTTTTCTAAATATAAATGAGAGTCGCCCAAAATTTTGGTGTATTCAAGAATGTATATTCCCTGTCTTTATCCACCTGGAACATGTACACTTTCGAATTGAAGATCCGACTTCGATACGAAGCGGATCTCAAACCATCAAGTCAGTGTCAAAAGTCGAATGAATCTAGACAATCTTTGAATGAATGTTCTACTCCTCCGATGTCAAAGTTCGCTAGTATAATAAACTTACTAGGTATGGATGAACCTCTGATACCCCCAGATCGAGAAAAAAAATCTTCATGACCCACGGACTAGAAATCCAATCGATTAATTGGTTGAACAAGATCGTTCGACTAGATAAGTATGAGATGTTTTGCACTTCCTCGTGGTTTGTAGGGAAATATTCGTCCTTTTGTCTTTGAAAATGATACCAATAAACGACTACGAGCGTTCTACTGAAAAAAAACCCTCAGTTAGTAACTTTGTTACTCATGATTATGGGGGGACAAGATTATACTCATACATGAATGACTCGAATATAAACTGTCTGATAAAAAATATATTCAACGAAGTCAAAGGACCCCGCACCGCAATAGGTGGGAAATTGGCTTTCGGTGAATTTTCTCGAATTTTGGATATATCGTAGAACTCGTGATGCTGATCAGATGTCCCAATTATCAACTCTCTCAATTCGATAGTTTGTATTATACAGGTTGCTGAAGTTGACTTTTTCAAAATTTCGAATCGCCATTGTGAATAAGTTTCCTTTTTGAATACCAAGATCAAATCGACAACGTTCTGTTTGTCCATGTGGCCGATGAAAATCCACTATAGAGTTCAATGATATCTGCACGTACTCACGATACACAGAGTTGGTCCAAAAATAGCAAATATGTTCCAATTATTTCCAAAAAATTGAGCGGTAGAAATCAATTCATTTTTGGATATTTCTTTGTATACTAATATCAACATCGATTCATGATAATTACATTTCTTGTATCAGACTATATAGTATACACAAGATGTTCAAGTTTCCATGAAACCGCACCCGTCCTGATATCTTAAACTTGGTGAGGAAGTTGATACTTCGTGATGACAATATTTTATGCGATACCTGAATTATACAGGGTGCTTAAGAAAGTAGTAGTGGAGTTTTCTTGGAGTTGACGTACTCAGAATTTCTGTCCTGTTTTACAATTGCTCTGGAGTACGTCAACTCCAAGAAAACTCCACTACTACTTTCTCAACCACCCTGTATTATTCAGGTATTTGCATAAAATATTGTCATCACGAATTTTCAACTTCCTCACCAAGGTTAACGGGATTCCAATCATTCGATGGATATGAATATCAAGACGGGTGCGGTTTCATGGAAACTTGACCATCTTGTGTACAATATGTTGTCTGATTGATAATGATTGATTTCGATGTTGATATTAGTATACTACGGAATGTCCAAAAATGAATTGATTTCAACCGCTCACTATTTCGGAAATAATTGGAAAATTTACTATTTTTGGACCAACTCTGTATATCGTGAGTACGCGCAGATATCACTCTATAGTGGATTTTCACCGGCCACATAGACAAACAAAACGTAGTCGATTTGATTTTGGTATTCGAAAAGGAAACTTCACAATGTCCATTCGAAATTTTGAAAAAGTCAACTTCAGCACCCTGTATAATACAAACTATTGAATTTAGAGCGTTGATAATGGGCTTATATCACAAAAAAATTTTATTTCATAATTCGATAGAACTCACCCAAACTAGCTCACCTCCGCAAACCGTTTCTTGCTGTGAGCTCCCTACGTTTTATAAAAAATTATTGAAATCCCCGATTTTTCGGACCTCTGAAAACGAGGCGATGATGTGACGTCAAAACCCTAATACTGAACCAAGACTCTTCCAGACAGAGATTGATGATACATGATTTCTGACAGAGTGAATAAGCGCGAGATCACAGTTGAAAGAATTAATATATCAGTTGCCTCAGTCTCCGTCGGGCGTTTGGTATTTTCTTTCAACTATGGCGAGATGAGGTTTCTACGTCATAAGAGGGTCCGTTTTCAGAAGGTACCATTATTTATGTCCAAAAATAAAACATTCCAGTTAATTTTTGGATCGAATTGTGTCGTCAATCATTATTTATGTATAAAAGGATCATCATAAACATGGTTTGAGTTAAAAGTTTTACTAAGGTGAACACGCCCATTGGGACATCTGATCAGCATCACGAGTTCAACGATATATCCAAAATTCGAGAAAATTTACCGAAAGCCAATTTCCTCCCTATTGCGGAGCGGGGTCCTTTCTTTCATTTGGAAAGTGAAATGTGAATGCACTCTATTATTATTGCCATCATAATAAATCAGTATAGAATAGTGAAAAGGAAATCATGGCAGATATCTCAATCATAGAGATTAGAGATATATTTTTCTTCATTTCATTGCTGCAGTGCAAATCAGAAATTGAATAATGAATAGGGCAGTACACTTCTTTCTTTTTCTAATGTATTCCAGAAAAGTGCTCATTGTCTTAATTGTTCCAAGTTGTTGGCCACCCACTGTGCGAGAAATGACCGCGAGCTGTCGTTTCACTTGCGAAATAATGTATTAACGAGAGTGTAGTGATAGTTATCAATCACGATTCTGATGAATATAGTGTTTAGGGCGATTGGAATATAAACGATGAGGCAGCACCATGCACAGGGTGTTTGATTCATAGATGAGTTCTTGGAATCCCTGCACTGACAAGCTACTAGCATTTAAAGGAAAATTCAATTTCGGTTGATAAATGAGTAGATATATCGAGGTGCACAAGTGATAGGTTGCCATTATGAATAAGGATAATGGACCTTTTCCATATATAGCTCTCTGTAAAGTTTAGTGATATAGGATTGAGATTACCTGGTATATTAGTAATACACTAGAATATAGCCAACACATTTGTGACATGACATCTCTGACATATCGCGTTCAGATAACAGTGCGATATCACTAACGTTTCATCGCTGCCATGTACAGAAGCAAACACATCTGCGACATGACATCTCTGAGATATCGCGATGAGGCAACACTGCGATATCACGATTGTTCCATCGCTGCGATGTAAAGAAGCAAACACATATGTGACATCACATCTCCAAGATGTCGTGATGAGGCAACAATGCGATATTCCGAATGATGCAACACTGCGATGAACAGAAGCAAACTCATAAGCAAGAATTTTTCGAAGAATTGATTTTTTTTCCTGTTTGGAGAAAAAGAATACATGAATATATACGTTACTCAACGAAGTGAAGCTGAAATATTCATTACATTGCTATCAAACTATTCTTGGTGACATCTCGGTCACTACATAATTTGTGATTCAAATACAAGTAACAGATCTCATATCAGTCATCAGAAGTCAGTGGTGTACCTATTATCACACCATATTTGAGGATTTTTTTTGTCGTTTCAGAACACATCGCTTTTGCATCACAAATACCATATCGCAATAACATTGCATAAA